AAAATCCCTCTCCATTTGTCGCAGGAACAGTCTGTCCGAGCGTGGGGTTGCTTGTCGTCTGGGCCTCATCCCATGAGCTCCATGACACTCATCCGTCTTTCGTTGATCTACAGGAGCCCAAGACTCCCAGGACCGGATGAGACTCTACTACTGAGTCGGCACCCTTGTTGTAGGTATGAAGTTTTCAGAAGTTGAACACGGCAGTCAAACAGAGCAAGGCGGATTCCAGCCGTTCCCATGCACTAAAGTTAATTTATTGCTTTCGCAAAGAGATCTATCGCCCGTCCAACAAATATTCTTGTTTCTCCTTACTTTTTTCTTGTAAGGAATGAAACCATCGGTTTGCCATGGGGTGGGTGTACACCGGTCGAGGTATGCTGGCTCGGTGGGTGGAGAAGAGCTGACCCTGGGCGACGCATGTATCATCGCGATTGCGCACACTCGTTATAAACCAATAGACTCGAGAGACAGATTTCATTGAAATGGGAGCCACAAAAGGGTGAGTGGTATTGCCGATCAAAAGCAAGCCCTACTCAGGACGGTGCATGACCGCTTGTTCATGTGAGGATCGTCGGACTTGGGAGATCAAGGACGCCAGGGTAGGGGCGAACAAGAAGTGAGCCATCCTCGCACGATAAGAAAAGGTATTCTAGAGACCAGATAATATCACAGAGAGTATGAGCCGACACATAATCGGTGGGTTCGTGAGATCAAAGACGTCGGTGTGGAAGGAGTGATGAGACGAGGACGCCGAGCCCGATGAACTCGATCAGCGGATGACACATTTCGACTCTCATACCTTGGCTGGAGAAAGAAAGAAAAAAGCAAGGGCAGCGAAATGGTCTTTTAGGCTAAAGAGGGAGCAAGCCACAGGAGTGTTGCTGATCGACAGGTAAGAAGGAGATCGTTCTCTCAACTGGCGGTCGACTCATCAGTACATCGAGTGTGTGAACCATCTGCCTTGCAACTTGAGAGAGTGAGAGTGAAAGATTACAGCTTCTGTTTTAATAAATAGTAATGAAACCGAGAAGATAGGTACTCGTAGGCTTAACCCTCCTCTGTGTAACGTATACATTATCACCGTTTGTTCCCTAGACCTTGACACGCCCCTCCGTCTGCTGTAACCTCAGTGAGAAATGTCGGGGACAGACTCAAGTACCAGGAGCCTTGTCGTCGTCCTTCTTCTGCTGGGCCGTATCGGCATTGGAGTTATCAGGGACAGTTGCTTGGCCCTTGGTGGCGGGATGGTTGACGGTCAGCTCGACCAAACGGTCCGAAAAGGCGGTATTGTCGTGAAGGTACCGCAAAAGCATCGAGCCTTTCTCACCGGATCTATAAATTTTGATTAGGTACGGTCAATGGTCGTGTCAAGTGCCATGAACTGACATCTTATCCTTTCCGCTCACACTGTCTGTGTGGGTTGATGGTGGGTTGGGAGCCATGGTAGGCAATTCCTGCTGTCTCGCAGAGAGGAAAGTTTTAACAGCCAAAAGACGAAGTTTGAGTGGCAAGGGCAGTTGGAGAATACCCAGATAGAGCTCGTGAATTAGAGACGAGGAAGATGGTCTGGAAGTCCAGTGTGATAGAACTCAAACTAGATGAAGAGGAACCATGCAACTTCAATGACGGCAGAATCCAATCCAGATTTACTTGGAGAATATTTTGGAAAGAACGAAAATGAAGTGCGAGAGGCTATGGTATTATATTATGATCTTGCTTGTTTTGTCTTGATTGTGCGTCTGGATAGAGGTAGACCACCTTGGGTGTAATGAGGCAACTGTCTTGAACTGGACCTAGAAAAGGCACATCTCATATACGGCTGAACGGACTGTATCATCATGGCATGTTTTTTCCTCCTCTGTTTTCTCTTGTAGAAATGGCCGAAATGGAAGCCGTGGAGGTTGTGAGACAACCATCAACATTGCTGTCCATGAAAAAGCAATGCCCGATCCCTGGGTGAGAGGGGGGTGAAGCTGGTGTAGTTCTATCTGAAATGGACTTCTGTCGCACCGAGCCCTACCGTTTTCTGTAATGGTGCATAAGGATCTCATTTGGCCCAGGTACGCCCGCTGGTGGTGATCGCGATGGACCCTGAGACCCTTGGAAGGAGAAGCCGGGAAACGGGCAGCACTCCCATCGAGGTGATAACTGACGATGTGAGACTGGCCGCCACTTGCGAAGATAGGGCGGCATAGGCGGGTAACTGGACGGCTTGCACACATCGGTCGGCAAGGGGCACATGGGGTGTCGCGGAGGCGAGCGTGTGAAGGTGTGCTAGTGGGATAGACGAGACAATTGAGGCCCAACAAGTTTGTTTCTTTTTCCAAGCTCGTCCTTCATCGCTCTTCAAGTGTCACGAGTTTGAGTATTCGGTGTGAAGTGTTTACTACGAGTGTAGTTCTCAGTTGTCATCCCCGCCTCCTGGAACTTGGCACGACTCAAGGCCCATCCTGATCTTGAAGGTTTGGCGTTTGTAACTCAGGTCCACGGGTCCGGCTGGCGCCGGGCAAGCCAGCGTGTGGAAAGGGAGACAGCTCAACGACTACAATGTCTGGATAGCCCACATATGAGGTGTCTAACAGCCAAAAGTAAGAAGAAAAGGGCAATCGTCGCCTGTGTTTTCAACCTGAATTTGTTAAATTGCCTGCTATGAAAAGCAACGCAACAAAACACATGCATGTGCTGGATGTGGCTGTAGCTGAAGGAACGTCATAAATAGGGATGGATCTTGCAATCAACACTCCAGGGAGGAAAGCGTAATATAAAGCAAAAAAAAGAAACAACACAGGAAAAGAGGGGGGAAAAGCAGAAATGCAAGCCTGGCTCTGCTGCGTAGCACCCAACCCTGCCACCAAGGTCCGACTTAGGATCTGGTGCAAGACTGACGGACAAGGGTCACCCAGTGGACCAAAAAAACAAAGCCAGCGTAGCAGTCTCAGAAGGGGCAACTGCTTTCAGCTGCCATGGGAAAGCAAGGATGCGCTCGCTCGGAGGCTGGCCATGGTTCTAACCCCCCAATGTTTTCCCACCCTCTCCCACTGGGCATGGAACAAAGTTCACACCCTCTTCTTCGCCGTCGAGGAGCCAAGCGCGGCTTGTAGCTTGCCTCTCCAGGGACCTACAGACTTCTACTTGATGGGCTTCCCCTTAGTGGGCTGCCCGACGCACTTCGCTTGGGGTCGGACACTTTCATATGGTGGGTTGTAGACGCAAGAGGCCGACCTGGGCAGTCGAGCCGCCGTTACAACGTTTTTTTTGTGTGGCACACCCTTGGCTTGCATGGCTGACGTTGTGACGAGTTGGCGGAAGATCTCTGCATGTGACTCGGGTGTTTAAAGTGGACGCCACCCTGTCACGCAAACCAGACACCTGAGAGTACGAGGCGAGTCAAACGATGAACCCCTGGCCCTCATCGAAATGGAACAAACTCACATTACTTAGGAATATGGATTCAACAGCTCCATACTGAACTTGTTCTGAGAAGAGGGACAAGTACTGTCCGCGGAAGATGTGAGCAAGCTGCGACAGCCAGAGTTCGAGGTTGTCCGACCCGAACTGAGGGGCCGATCTATTGGTGGCGGCATCTGATTCAAATTGAACGGGAACGCCCTGTTACCTCCCACTTGGAATGGGACAGGAGAGTGAAAAAAGCTGGTGGAGTTGGTCCGGCTGAACTGACACTCTAGTGGGATGTGTGATACAGGCGATCAATGATGCCGGAAACCTCAGAGCTGTATTGCTGTATTCTGCAGGCCGTCAAACCCCTATTCGTGGCAAGCATCTTCTGCTGTTATTGGTCCGTACCGCTTCTGCGAGTTTTGTTTTCCCTGGCAACCTCCCACCGTTTCATGCCCCCGGATTTTAGACTCAGTCTAGACCCTTTTTTTGCTTCCAGGGGATACGCCACGGCGACCTTGCAGACGCCAAACTCCATGTGTCTGCATCCAGGGGCCGAACCGCAAGCCCCATCAAGTCCTATCCTCGTGAAATCTTCAGGGTTTATCCTGGCTGGAAAGGAAGATGCCGAACTTAAGATGGACAAGGGCCAAAAATGCACCTGCCACGTCATGGAGCCGAAGCTTCAATCGTCGCAACTAGCTCGAATCGCTGGACCCTGGCGAACTTGCTTCTTTTGTTCTTGAGGGTCTTTAACGCCCTTTGCCGATCTACGCCAAGTCTCAGGATTCCATGTGACACGGAGAAAAAAAAAAAGGGAGAGGAAAGAAGCAAAACACCACGTTGTTGTTGAGACTATCTCATATCTGCATCCACGTGGCGTCGGTGTGTGTAAGTGCTCAGCTGGTTTCTCATGGGAGGCACTGCCGATCATCATCGTCGTCTGCGAAGCGACAAAAAGCATGCAAGTGTGAAGACGCCCGCATCCCAGCCCCCTCATATGAGCACCGGAGATTGAATCCAGTCACAGCCAGTGATGAGACGGGTAAGCAGTGAGACCGAGGTGAGTAGACCACACAAATCAGGAAATGACTGACAACTGCTTGAGACTTTGCTAGTCTAAATACACTATAATAATAGAAAATATTAGAATAGTACTCTTTGTTTATTTTATTTCTTGTCTTATTATTCTCGTCATATCCTCACCACTATCCTTGGAGGAGGATAAGCCGACGGCTTTGTGCTGACGTATATGGGGGTACGTACCGTCATGGAACATTCGCGTCTTTCCATGAGAGGCGCAGTCCGTCATCCGTTTCCATTCGAATCTTCCAGCGCTTTCCTTCCATTTCTCTTTGTTTCCGACGCTAGAATCGTATACCCGGGGCATTTGATTCAGATCTGAATGAACCAGTCTCGGACGAACCCTCTTGCGGCTCAGGGCTGCCTCAGCTACGTTGGGCTGAATCGCAAACCATGACGGTGGTTGAGAGCTGACGCGCCACCCCATGAGTCTTCTGTATAAAGCATCTTGGGTCATGAACCTCGATTTGTCGGGCCTACCATGCTCGTTCACCCAACCAGCTTACCGATGAACCTCCGACATGGCCTCGTCTGCTCCCTCCTTCATTCTTCCTCTGACCCCTGATTGGTCTTTGGAGGATTTTGACGAGTTTATGGGTCAGCCCTTGTTTTCTGCCCCGACTTCTCAGTGTCTTTCCTCAGTTACCATTTCAGGGCCATGCATGCCGCCCTCGCCGTTTCACCCCGCCAAGAGAAATCACAACGCTTTTTTACTGGAGTCGCCATCTTATCAATCTTCAGAGGCCCCTCGGTCTCCTCAACCAAAGAAAAAGACTGTGGCTGGTGACATAAACTACAGCTGCCCATACCGGAAGCGCAATCCTGAGGTTTTTAATGTGCGCGATCACCCAACATGCGCGACTGCGTCATTTCCCAGCATTACGATGGTCAAGTGAGTTTATCGTCCCAATTCCCGCCGAGAACCTGGTTGCTGATTGTTCGGCAGACGACACATCATGTCCACGCACCTCCTGTCGAAATGCACGGAGCAGTGTGAAAACTGCCACTCATGGTTTGGAGATGAAAAAGCCCTGATGATGCACCATCGAAATGGAATTTGTCCTCGTCATTTTAGCCCATCTGCCAGGCAATGCGACATGGGCATTGACCAAGAGATGGAGGCCAAGCTTCGAGATCGCCGGGCCATTTACCAGGTCCTCACTTGGCGCGATCTCTGGATGACTATCTTTCCGGGGTGTGGCGAAGTGCCGAGTCCTGGTAAGAACCCCCTAACCCGACTAGTCCAGTGTCGCTGACCCTTGTGTAGCCTTCAGACCTGTTGTGGAGGGCACCGAAGCCCTCGAGTTTTTCTTTAGGAGTCTTTCCGGCCTTGACGGGCCGGGTAGATATCGCGCACAGGCAATGATGCCTCCGAGTTGCGACTGTGATGACTTTGGAGAGGCTTTGCGAAGAGTGTACGGGTTCGTGGTCGATGTGCAGAGGAGATCGGGCAGGTTCCCTGATTTTGGCGTTGAGACAACTTACATTGGCGGCCGGGGCGGGTTCTAGGTCAAGCATATGACGTTCACAGGTTGGATCGAAGGATGGGTATCGGTGGTGTCTTTAGATGGCGTTGGGAGTTGGCGGGCACGTCTTGGTATTTTCTATGGGCACACGGACAAGAGGTTACACACTGGATGAACATGGTCCTCCTCCTGGCTCGAGCAACACCCCTCCCCCTCAAGGATGGGCTAGTTCCCGAGTCTAGACGAACAAGGGAATGCAATTTAAGGTTAATCGACACGATTGCTGGCGATCCACCGTCCCACCCGGGAACGGCACGGCCCCACCCGGGCCGAAAACCTTGAATTAGTCAAAGCAAACGAAAAAAGGCTTTCTCAACCTCCCTCTATCGTCTCTATCATCTGATGTTTCGTCTGGGTTTCAAGTTCAGTTCAAGAAGGAGGCCTCTTGGGTGGTCACCCGTACTACTGCAGCTCGACGTGGCCATTGGCCCACACTGCGAACAGGCTGACGTGAGAGGCAGAGAGGGTCCGTTTCACAGTATTTATGGCATCCTTGGCCAATGCGTCAAAACTGACGCGCGCCATTCTGTAACTGGCGCCCTTTTTGTACGAGCACGGCGTCTGACTCGACGACGTCTGATAAATCGTCAAGAGGGTGGTCACCAACATGTTCAAATGTGGTAATGTGCAAGTCCTCGGCGGACCACTTGCGCGTCCCCGAAGCGCCTTAGCCGTCTGGGCCCCCCAATCGCTTGTTTACTTGCGCCTTAGGCGCCTCTCCTTTTTACTCCTTCGGCAGGCTGCCTCGTATTCGAATTGTTTCAATGTTTCGTTTCATGTTTCGTTGCCTTCGGACACCATCTTTTCTTCGTGGTGGTTGTCCGGCTCTGCCGGGCATGCCGAGCCTGCTCGACCCCGTCTCATTGTTCGTCTCCCACCGCCATCGGGCATCAACAGTTTCACACGACAAAAGAGATAATTTGAGCGCGTAATCGAGTCTCATTAAGTTGACTCATCTATCCCATTTCGTTCATCGTCCGGCGCTCGCATTCGCGATGTTGAGAGCCTCCCCCAATCCCACCGTCATCTCGTCATTAGGTTGGCTCCAGGCCAGCAACATCAAACATTAAACATTTCCAGAACATCAGCCCTGGGCCTCGCAGGAGGCCATCTCAGTTGGTTCACCGCTCCCTCAAATTACCCAAGCCAAAAATAACCTTTTCATTAGTCACAGCCTGCTCTTTCCAGAACTGTTCTTGGTGCCCTGCTGTTCGGCGTTGTTGGTGTTGGGGGCCGGCTTCAGCTGATCATTTGTGAAGCGCTTGGACACATTGTCGATGGCGGCGAGGGCCGCAGCAGAGGGGCCGGGCTGGGGTGCGCCGCCCCAAATCAGACGCTCCTGAACGGCGGAGGCATCGTAAATGAAGGGCTCAATCATCTTGGTGGTATCCATTGTTCTGCGGCTGAGTGTTAGTGTCGGTGTTGAGCGGCATCGCCATGTGAGGCCGGCTTACGTTGTGTCGTTGACAGTCGTCGACGAGAGGATGAAAAAACGCGACCGTTTTGGAGGCAATTGGGAGTTTAAGTGTCAAGGTGGAGAAGAATAGTCGGTGTCTTCTTAAATGTGATAGAGTCGCCGTTGAGTCGGGGCAGAGGCGATGAAGTGTCAAGGCGAGAGAGGAGGAGGGTGTTTGAGAGTAATAATATGATAATACGGTATTGAAAATAAGGGAACAGGGATCGCGGTCTGAATTATCTCCATGCTTGGATAGAAATGAGAAAGAAAGGAACAGTGTTGGGAAAGGGAGCACTTATTAAATAGGGAGCCTGGGGAAGTTCGGCTGTAAAGGAGGCTCTACACCCTTTGACTTCATACACTCCTGCATTAAAATCAGGGTGGTGCGGAGGGGCCGGCAAGAGTCGAACCGTAACTTGCTTGGCCCCTAGGCTTATTGCAGGCGTTGTGTTGTAGGATCACACGTGTGTTGAGGCCGGCGTGTTTTAGACGCGCTCTGTGTGGCGATTGATGAAGCCTTCAATCCCGTCACTCAGCCGTCTTTGAAGGTGTTTCGTGGTGTGCACGAGGAATGTCTCGATCTTGAACCATATCAAGGAGACGAATTTTTGTGTAATTAAAATCATTTTAATAATTATCTTTTTTACGCCTAAGCACTAACTATTCATTGTTGCGCATTTGACGATGGTGGTGATCTCCCTGTTTGAACCCCCATTCCCGTGGCAATCGCCCATCCCCACACCGTTGTATAGGGTGTCTCTCAGGCGCGCACACCGTCGACGTGCCGTTACACGTGTACTCGAGGTAAAGCGTGTCTGTCTGTTGCGCATACTCGCTGCATGACACATCTGTTGCCACACGATGCCAATAAATGACTCTTGACCAGTTCTTACTAGCCAGCCGAGTTCCCTAATTCCGTGCCAACCCTCCGCCGCTCTGTGCCCAGCATGTGAGGTGCGAAAGCCGGGTGTGACACAAATGTATTCTCATGTTATCACCGAAGGGTATTAACAGAGATAGAACAAGAACAATGGGATATAAGGGAGCGATACAAGGTAGTTATTTTAGTAGTATATTTTAGTTTATATTTTTGTCAGTTTTACATAGCTCATTTCTAATATGTAATGCTAATTAGGCTTTCTTCATTGTTCTGCTTTCTCGCTTCTCGTTTATTCCCTGACTTGTGTGGTTGCATCCTCGGGCACCGGGTCTCATCTCTATTTCCCCGGTCATCAATCTCTTCACGTCAGCACCGCTGACTGTTCATTGAATTATTTTGAGACTTTATTACCGGGTCATTCGGTACGTGCGGTAAATACGGTAGATAGGCATCATCTGTGACATGGTGCCTAAAACTGATGCGCTGGCGAGGGCTTTGGTCGGGCTCATCAAGACATGATATCCGCACACCAAAGAATTACCATGTTAATCGCTAAAGTCCGCGGGATCCGATTTTTGGAAAGAATTGCCGTGGCCAAGGGTATTGATGGGGTTGAAACCATCATGAACTTAGGGGCTGGAGAGTGCGGAGGCCTGAGGGGTGATGACGTGTAAACAGAGTGAAGGCCTCACAAGAACGGATTCAATCCTGTGAGGCCAGTGTAAATACCCAATGTACGAGTCAAAGGAAATAAGGTTTGTGTGAGAGGGAGCATGAGCTGTTGGCCCTCGCGACAGACTCGATTGGTCACGCATTAAACAAGCAATTCAGCCTTTCCTGGCTGTGCTGTGTCTGCCTGGTAGGTAATTACAACGAGGCCCTTCGGAGTTATGCATCGCAGCCCAGCCCAATTGGGACTTTGGAGTCTGCCCAGTTGAGGGCCACCACGCCCCGTCTCTCGCCACAGGCGGCTAAACCACACCTGTGTCGAACGAAGAGCATTCAACGAGTGACAGGCTTCGGTTGATAAAAGGTGATTCTTTTCGGAAACAGTTCCATTTTTAGCAGGTATGCCACAGCTGAACGGGAACGGTTCATTAATCAGCTGGAGCCTGGAAGGGCTGGCTGGCTTTCGTAACAGGGGTGATATTGGGATTCGCCACCCAGAGGCAAATTACCCCAGGTTCAGACAGTGTTGTTTCAACGGGCGGCGGCGTTTGCCACGCGGCCCTTGCATGGCTTGGTTGAGGCTTTCTTTCTCTCTTTTGGTAAAGCAATTAATATTTGACTCGACTGCTCTCACCCAGGCATGTTTACTTCACAACTCACCCACCTCTCTCTCCCTTTCTTTGCAGCGCCTAGTGCTGCAACCTGTCAATCATGAGTGACAACATCTATTTTCCGACCTTTCCAGGGGAAGGTCTAGACTTTTCTGGACCTGCAGGGCCTGGACCATCCTACTTCCAGGAGAAGAGGCAGTACACCCTCGACCCGACAATCACTGCACTAGATGCAGATGGTGCTGCGTTTCATTCCCAGGAACCAGAGGTGCAGACGACCAACCAATCCTTCAGCTGCCCCTACAGGAAGCGCAATCCATGGATGTTCAACGTTCGAGATCATCACATCTGTGCCACCCACTCGTTCCCCACCATCGCCCTCTTGAAGCAAGTCCACTTCTTTGTATAACACCCCATTCGCTCCCTCGACTAACACAAAAGTCTAGGCGTCACATTGTGTCCAAGCACCAATCAAAGGATTTTACCTATTCCTGCAACAACTGCGGTATTCCTTTTCGGGCGGATCTTGATCGGCAGTTGCATCAGGAATCGGGGCTTTGCTTCAGGCACCGCACGTGTTACTCTGATGAGCATGATAATGGCGTCACTGAGGACATGCTGAAGAGGCTCCGCGACCGTGGGGCTAGGAATGGTGTTTCTGACTGGAGTACACTTTGGATGACCATTTTCCCAGAGAGCGATCATATCCCCAGTCCCGGTAAGCCGCCCGAACGATTGCTCGTCCTAACTTGATGCGATTATGCGACCTCGATTCGGTCTCTTGCTAATACGACCGACCGTCAGAATTCGTCCCCGTTGTTGAGGCTCATGAGACTTGGTGCCACTTTTTCCAGCGACTCCGAGAACACAGTCGTTCTATTCCCACAGAGGCCATGATGCACGAGGCTCGTGTGCATCTGCACATGCTCATCAGCCAAGGACAAAACTTTCTTGCTGCGCTTGGAAGCACTATACGTTGGATCGGTTGCTTTATTTCGAATGTCACAGAGAGGTCGAGGATTGGGAGGCCCCACTGGCTGGATGAGGCACTCCTGTTTAGCATGAACACGGGGAATTGACTGTCGGTTTGGGGGTTACTACGGGAGTCCTGCGGAGCGTGGGGATTTGCTGGATGTCGCACAATGATAACAGGTAGCGAAGTAACATGGTTTCATTTTCCCGCACGAGGCCTGGAGGTTCAAAATGATATTGGGGACAGTAACAGAAACATTCCTGAGAGACCGGAAGCCAGAGAAGCAAGGTCGGTTCGCAAGGTCGGTTCGCAAGGCTTTCTTTCCTTTAAATTTCCCAGTAGATGAGAGTTGTAGAGACAATTTATTGTACGACAGCCAGGATTCTTTTTCTTTCTTTGGTGTGTGGAGGTGGAGGCCTCGTCTCCTCTGCTCCATGTCAGCGTGGTTTGCTTCAGTGGTGTACCAACCAATCACGGAGGATAGAGTCATAGAACCTCTTGGCCTGCACATTTGTCGTGGCTGATCAGGCTTGATTCAATATGGCATGGTATTTGCTCGGGGTGATGAACGCGTTTCCTTCATCGTTGCACGCTGGCCTGGCGCTGGTGCTCTGTGAGTCGTATGGGCCAATTTTCAGTGTCGCGCTGGCTTGCGCTTGTCAATACAGAAGATTTTTTACATTCGCATGGGTTTCTGGACTCCAGGTAATTGGAAATAACTGGAGTCGGCATAGGGTTGGGTGCGATTCAGACCAGTTCCAGAACCAGAGAGGTCCCGTCATTGTTCATCCTCTGTCCTCAAGTGTTCGGCACATCCGGCGAAAGAGAGAGCCACAGACCAACCTTTGATGAGTAGATATCCAGAGAAACTGAGAAAGGGAAAGTCAGTAGCACGACCATTTGAATCAATACAAGAACTAGGACAAGAATGCAGGGCTGGTCACAGCCTGATTTCAAAGCCCGCCTGAGGTCGGGGGGCGGGGGCGGGGGAACCACCCAGAATGTCGGGCGTGTCTGTCGGTCCCCCCCTGTTGTGAGCTGCTTGTCAGAGCCTGGAGAACGCCAGGCGCAACCCCTGTTACGAGCGTAGCTATTGATTGGGGAATCCCAGGCGTGTCTGTCGGCGCTGGCTATGTCAGAGCCTGATTTCATGAGACCTCTTGCATGGTGTTTTGCGGTTTTGTTTCGTGCTCTAAGCTCTGAATGAGCGTATATAGACCTCTGGTGTCCAACTGCTTCGTTCTTTTGCATTGTTCTACTCATTATCATCAAAATTGTTTCTTGCTAGCTTCCCATTCTCCTTACTGAGCGATATGCCCTCCTCTGAGCTCGACAGCATTTTGTTTGATGTGGACTTTGACTGGCCGCCGCTTTTCCCAGACAGCCAGCATCAGCTTGCACAGGATCCTCCACCCGAGTCGGCACCACCAAGCCGCAATTTTAGCTGCCCTTACCGCCGGCGAAGCCCTCAAATGTTTAACGTCCGCGACTTTCCAACATGCGCACACAAATCTTTCTCTAGCATCACTCTTGTCAAGTAAAAGCTGCATTCCTAAAGATTTTCTGTGAGGTTCACATCTGACTGTTACTTGCCCAGACGTCATGTAAAGTCTACACACACTGCACATGACTTCACCTTTCAATGCAGAACGTGCAGTGGCTGGTTTCGCACGCAAAGGGCCTTGGACAAGCACTCCAGCCACCAGACCTGCTCCAGCCTTCAGCCTCTCATCATTGATGAGTACGACAAGGGTATCACGGAGGAAATGGCAAACAGACTGCGGGATCGTCGCAACAGAACCAAGGTGTTGGAGTGGGAGAGCTTGTGGCGCACCATCTTCCCCACCAGCCAAGTCATCCTTACCCCTGGTAAGCCTCTCCCAATGGTCGGTGTGATACTGATGCTGATGGCTCGAGTCAGATTTCGTGCCTGTCCGTGAACATGGCGAAGGCAGAGAGTAACTCTGCCGAAGGCTGTCAAAACTGGACCCCAATGCAACGTTTGAAGTCCGACAAGTGTTCCGGAGTCAACCCAACTCATCCAGTCAAGATTGTGCGGGGGTTCGATGGCAGACAGTGATGCGCCGGTGGAGACAAGACAGAAACAGAACCCATGTGGCTAGATAGCACAACAACTATTATGGTTCACCTACTGTCCCTATCTCGGCGAGTCCAAATGCCTCAAACTTGTGCAGTGAAACTACTTAGTTATGATGAGTATTTAGTGGTCGCTTGGTCTGAGGGGTGCCACATACCAGCAATCCAGGGACCCCTCAGGGATGGGTAGACCTTGCTGGCTTGACGAGGTACTGTTGTTCAACCTGGACGTCTACCCAACACGCGAAACTGAGAGCTTACGAACACTGCTGCAGTGGCTATCTACATAGTGCCCGAGAATCGCGACAAGTTTAGTACCCTGTAGTAAAATGTATCAATGGCTTCTTTCTCTTTTTCACAGGAGCAGAAGCTTCCGAGTACCTACCTCGCACCGGGCGGGCACTTCGTTTCGGCCCGCTATTAGGCGACCCGCATTGCCTAATTTGGCAGTCTGCACTTGTTCACCATTGACTGGGTGTCTGCCAACTGAAGTTCGTGGGGGAATGACCATAGACCAATGGGTCTGGTTCTCAACCCCTAATTCCCGGGACACTCAACAGATCACAGCACGAGTGGCCCCGTTCATCTGGTTTACAGAGGGATCCTGTACTCTGTATGTCCTTGCAAACTGCTTGTTGGGAGGTCGGTGCTTCTGTGGATTAGCGCCACACCTACGCGGGAGCATCTCGACAGTGCCTGCGCGGATTGGGCCGTGACCAGATCAAATGTGCTGTACCAGCCCAAACGTCAACTCGGCGAAACTTCCAAAGGGACAATGCGTACTTGGAGTGGCAGATCATGGGCAAGGCCAAGGGCGCTGGGCGGCGCACCCCTCTACTGGGGCCGGCTTTGGCTTCAGATCTTGGGACCAGGGTAACCCTGTATCTGTTTTTATTAGCCAATCAGCCATGGCTTTCCTCCCTCTTCACCAGGAAGAAGACAAGAAGGAGAAAGGAACCCAGCGTACTCCGTAGTGTTGACCTCATTTCGGCTCGGTGCCACCGTCTGACACGGGCTTCGGCCCCTACCCCATGGTAGCGCCTAGAAAGCACGGTGCAGTCGAGCAGGGACGCAAGAATAGTGCATCCCGTGTGGCCAACGTTCGATTACAAAGCCCCTTTATTTCGGCTATTCGAGCTTGGTGTGCTGTCTTTTGTGGGCAATGCTTGCTCCCCGGCCTGTCCACCGCCAGTAGTCTGGTGTTAATCCCAGCGTTGGCATGGATAGAAGGTGAGGACTGTACATGCTCGCTCGGCTCGGCACCAACGCCATACACCTTGCACCCCGGTAGCCTCTCTTCCCAATTGGACAACCAGCATCTTTCCCGAGCATGTGGCCAATGAGAGGCTTTTGACAAGGGGTCAGTAACCCGCTGCCATTAAGTCAAGAAGGTATTAAGTCGGTTTCGCAGTGTATGAACGAACCGCAAGCGCCGTAGGCCCCGCAGCTAGTTGTTGAGAGGATGGCAACGGATGCTACCCCACGCACTGGCCTGCGAATGAAACAACATGGGCTTAATTTAAGGTAGGGCTTAGTTCCAGTTGCGCTCCAGATGACTCGGGTGACTTGGCTGACGCAATTGACCTGGAGGAGCATGCTTCTAGAAAAGTGGTGGTTTTGTTTCACACAGAAGCTGCCAAAAACAATTGTGTGTAGCGATTCAAAACCTTGAGGCCTGGAACGGCTCTTGTCTTCCTCCACCATGCCACTGCAATACATGCCCTTCGGTTGCTTCAGGCTGGTGATGTTTGGCTACAACTACGAGCCTTCTCTAGGATGCAGCAATCTAATACCTCTGTGTTCTTTCTTGCCTGACAAGCGTCGACATTATGGATGTCGACGAAAAAATTGACGACAACCACTGTTTGGGGAGGAGGTAAAATGCCTGTGTGTCGGTTCTCAAAAAGACGTGCGCTGGCCAGTCTCTGCGTGCGTAGCTTTCCCCTGAATTGGTCCTTTGATATGGGAGAGATAAAGTCGAGTTTGCTCAGCTCAAGTGGAGCTTAGAGTGACAGGTCGAGCCGTCCCTGTGAAGCCGAGCTCGCTGCTGGAGCGTGCCGGCTGACGTCCAACCAACACCAAGCATCCCTGCTGGCAGTGCCGGCTAGGGTGTGTCAGAGACGGGCCGCCATCGGGGTGGAAAGAAATTGTTTGTCTTTATTTCGAGATATGGCCAATGTGTCGGGGCCGATGCGATACTTCTGGACTGAAATACACCCTGGTTGATCGATCAGGAGGCCACACCGCGGAGTGAGCCCAAAGGCCAAATGCTCAATATATAAGTCGAAGCTCATACCCTCGAGGAACTTCCTATTCTGCAGCTCAGAGTCCTCAACCAACTCCGCAATCCACACCATCACGATCAACATTCATTACCTATATTTTGTCCATCTCCATTAGCCAATCATGTCTCACCCATCTGATCATTCAAGCCTTGGGGCCAGTCAGCCTGACTTTCCGTTGTTCCCTCAGCCACATCCTTCTTCGAATATCCCGCACAACGCCACCTCTGTAGGTCTGGAATGTACCGAGAGAGGAAAACAGGGCCCCGACCCAGCAGAGTCATCACAAAACGCGGGAAACGCCTTTCGCTACAGCTGCCCCTTCCGCGCACGGAATAAAGCGTTATTTAATCCCAACGACTATAGCTGTGCCAGGAGCTCTTTCCGCGACATGACTCTTGTCAAGTAAGGGATCCATGCGTCAGAGCGTTGGTGGAAACTAATCTGTGACTGCTTCTTCAGACGCCATGTCATTAACGCACATACTGCCAAAGACTTTACCTCCCAATGCAACAGCTGCGGGAGGTGGTTCAAGAAAACAGACTTCACTCGACACTCTAAGCTCGGGAAGTGCCCCGATTTATCGTTGCCTCCTGACGAATACGACAAAGGCATTACGGAGGCTATGGCGTCCAGGCTCAGAGACCGACGGAATGGGTACAAGGTCTTGAACTGGGACGATCTGTGTCGCCTAATATTCCCAAACACCCAAGTTGAAATCCCTCCGGGTAAGAGTCTTGTGTACTTGCTACATACTGACATTTCGAAGATCCGCGGCGTTTCTTAAAACTAATCTCCCCGCCCAGATTTTGAGCCCATCAAGGAATCGCATGAACCACCCTCTCAAGCCAGCCAAACCCCCTTGTACGTGGATTGGCATCCCGTCCAGGACGGGCTGTTAGAAGCCAATGCCCCCAGCTATGATGCAGAAGTGAACATGCATACCACTTATGAGACTGTTGGTGCTCAGCCATCCCAAAGTAGTGCAAATTTGAGCATTCTTGAAGGTAACTTGGACTTTTCTCAGTCATCATTTGGGCTGCAACAAGTATGGGCAGTTCAGGACTCCTCCTCCGGCTCCGGTGCGGGCCCGGCGGCGGCGGCCGGCGCGCTTGCCCCTCCCCCACATGGAAGCAGCTTTGAGCTGTAGCCCCTCATCCATGATCCAGTGGACCTAGGAGCTGTCCACTGATAAGAAGGGTTACTGACGCCGCCGGCCGCCAACTGAACTGTCTCAAATAAAAGCTTCTCCCCCTCTTTAAGGAGCTGACGTCGTGAACCTCCCCTCCTCAAGATACTCCTCTAGTTCTTGACATCACCAACAACAGCAACAATGTCGCACACTCACGACGGATCTGCCCCGCACTCGCACTCGCACGAGGGCTTCTCGGCCGCCGAGCACGGCCACTCTCACGAGATCCTCGATGGACCTGGTAGCTACCTCGGTCGCGAGATGCCCATCACCGAAGGCCGCGACTGGTCGGATCGAGCTTTCACCATTGGCATTGGAGGGTGAGAGCAGTCATTCATCAATTCGAGGAGCAGAGCTGACTGTCAACAGCCCCGTCGGATCCGGCAAGACTGCCCTCATGCTCGCTCTCTGCCTCGCCCTTCGAAAGGAATTCTCTCTCGCCGCCGTCACGAACGATATCTTTACCCGTGAGGACGCCGAGTTCCTCACCCGCCACCAGGCCCTTCCTCCTTCCCGCATCCGAGCCATCGAGACGGGCGGTTGCCCACACGCCGCCGTCCGAGAGGACATTTCTCAGAACCTCGCTGCCCTCGAGGATCTGCACCGCGAGTTCGAGACGGATCTTCTTCTGATTGAGTCTGGTGGCGATAACCTCGCTGCAAACTATAGTCGTGAATTGGCGGATTTCATCATCTACGTTATCGACGTGAGCGGTGGTGACAAGATTCCCCGAAAGGGAGGACCTGGAATCACGCAGAGTGATTTGCTGGTTGTGAACAAGACGGATTTGGCAGAGATTGTAGGTGCCGACTTGGGCGTCATGGAGCGGGACGCGAGAAAGATGAGAGAGGGAGGTCCTACGGTGTTTGCGCAGGTCAAGAAGGACGTTGGCGTGGATCACATCATCAACTTGATCAAGAGTGCATGGAAGGCCAGCGGCGCAGAGGAGGAGAGGAGAAGCAAGGGAGGACCTAGGGCGACTGAGGGCTTGGAGGCCTTGACCAACGCATAAAAGCGCAAATCAAAAGCTGATGTTTCCTGAGCCAACCACCGTGACGATGCGGGATTGCTTCTTCTTGTTCAATTTTGTAAACTGCCGCTCCTTTTTGGTGGTGGTTGAGTGGTCTAACGATCACAACGATGACGATGGCGACACTAATGGCAACACCTTCGATCCGTTCAACATTGGGCTAGTGAATACTCAAAATTCGTCAAACAAAAGAAACCAAAAACGCCTGTATTTTCATCTAGAGAGGTATACTGGGGTGGTCATGTCTAAGCCTATTCATCCATCATCATATCGCCATCAGCGTTGAGCGCCCTCGGGTCAATCTCCAACAACGGGCCCTCGACAGGCGCAGCATCGCGCGGCCACACGCGCTTGTACAGACTGACGCCGATCGAGTCCTGCGGGTTGATGCGGCCGTCGAATGTCGCCTTGAAGTAGCCGTGGGTGCCGAGAGGCTCCTTGATGAAGCCGCCGCGGCCGCGCTTGGTCCACAGGGGCATCGCCTTGAACCATTCGACGTCTTCGCGGTTGAAGAACATGTATCGGATGGTGACGATCTTCTTGTGGATGTGGTAAGGGTGGCCGGCGAGGATGATTCGCTTGGCGATGACGCGAGAGGTTGATGGTGGCAGAGCAGTTCCGGTGCCAATCAGCGACATGCCAATATGTTGACCATTCTCGGTCTCGACCTCCTCAGCCGTAGTTCTCTTGAAGAACAGCACAGGAACCGCTCCCCATGTTAAAGGACCCATAAAGGTCGCAATAGCTGACTGGCCGGGGTGCAAGTACCGGCAGTACTTGTGAACATCGTTGGGTGTCTGCCCGGGCTGAGAGAATAGGGGCTTGACGACCATTCGGCGGGGTCCGCACTGGACGATGAGCTCCTCCTTGGCCTTGATGGACTTGGTAAAGTCAGAGCTGAGGTTGAAGAGGTAGTTGACGGCCGTCTTCTTGTTCTCGTGTCGCAGCAGGGAGAACAGAGTCAGGGGCGACTTGGGGTTATAAGTCTTCTCAACAATAGGAGAGATGCCCTTGATGTAGACTTGAACACGGGTTCCGGGCTCAACTCCACCAACAAGAGCCTCCCGTGTAGCCTGAGACCTCGAAGACTGGTAGTTGGGAACCTGAAGCAGACGTCTCCACTCCTCAGGCTCGTGAGCGCGGTCCTCATCCTCTTGCCACACACTGGTTCGCAGACTCTTGAGACCACGGTATCGGGCCAGACGCTCTCGTGCCAGCACGTGAGGGTGCAACTCGATCTCGTCAGGGAACTCCTTGTCATCCTCGACCTCATCTCGCTTTCGTGCTGCTCGGAATTGCTCGAGCTGCTTGGCGTCCTCCTCCTCATCGGGCTCAATCATCATCTCCGATTGAGGATATTCTGAAGGGGCACCCTCAGTAGGGGGGGCGGGAGCACGACCCTCGAGACCATCCTCAGGGCGAGCTTCCTCCTCGCCAGCCTCGTCCTTCATCTCGAAATCCTCCATATCGGACTCATCATCAGAGACATCCTCAAGATACCAGGCTGACTGGTAGTTGGATGTACCCTTGGGCACCTTCTTCTTAATCTTCCTCGCCTCAGCCTCCTCATCTGAGAAGTAGTGGTGGTCATCCAGCAAAACACCCTTCTTCTGTGCGGGTTCAGTATCCATGGCGGCATCGTCATCAGCATCCATCATGACCTCCTCAGGAGCCAGCTCAACCAGCTCATCTCGGTCCTCAGAAGGCTCGTCGAGAACCTTCTCGCCCTCTGTGGGTTCAATTGTGATCTCCTCTCCCTTCTTCTTAATGTGCTTTGGTAGAGGAGCAGCCACAATCTTTTCGATCTGGAAAGTTCCCCAGTCGCCAACCTGAATAAGGCGATCAGCCTTGAGGCCCTTACCCCGGACAACACCAGTGATAATAGTGGGGTCGGAGTCGGAGTAAGCGAACTTGATATCCTCGACCAGCATCCAACTTCTCTCCTCTCTCCACCGGACGCCCTTTGGTGTTGTGCTGCATAGTGATCGCATGAGGTTGGCGCATTCCTGTCGGTTCTCGAGGCTGTAGAGCTTCTCTTGCTCGGGGTGAAAATGTGTGATGAAGGACCTAAGAGATCCAAGAACTCCCTGTCGCTGCTTGGCGGGCTCAATTGCTTCAAGGCCCTGGACGAGGGTGAAGAGGGTTGACATGCCCTGGCTTTCGACACTTCGCAGGATCAATTCACCAAGCTCGTCAACCTCGGTATTCGCCGACAGAACCACAACCACAAAATCGGCCACCCGCGCAGCATCCAGACAGGCAGTAAGATCTCGCTCGAGGGGAATGTACTGGAGTTTTTGCTTGAATCGGTCGACTGTGACTCGGAAGTTTCCATCCACAGCGCTGTCCTCGATATCGACGCTGCCGTTCAACTGCTGGATAGCGGCCTTTGCGTCTCCATCAGCGCACAGAGGAATAACCGCAACGTTCCTGGGCGCTCCATCTTTTCCAGCAAAAACCGAGGTCTCCTTGACGTGCTCCTTATGCTTGTTCAAGCGGGCCTGCTTGGCCTGGTTGCGTCGGTCGAACTTGGACATGACTTGTTGATGGATAGTTTTTCGCTGGCCTTTTTCGTTGGGGACTCGACCTGTGCATGCATGTCAGATTTTTCAATCACCCGAATTTTTGACAAAATTCATACCCTTGGCACGGTCTCTCAACTCATGCTTGGAAGCAGCCCTCGACTTGAACGCCTTGTGCGTGACCTTTGTCGTTGGCCGATGCGAGTGAGCCACAGCGACAGGCATCTTGCTGTCACCACCGGCTTTGAATCTGAACGGTAGAGAGGCCAGATTGGACGGACAAAAGGTTGAGGGTGGAAAAAAGTGCCCGTCAAGGTTGTTGGTAAATCTCGATGGCAATATCTTCGATTATCGCAGGCGGTCATGGCGGGGTTGTGGTTATCTGGAAATTTTTGTGCGCTATCGATAACAGAAGTGGGTCGATTCTCAGCCAATAGTGTTATAGCGATAACAGTCGACTCTTGGCGTCCTGGAAATTTTGTTTTATGCCAATCCTTCCCGCCTCTTGAAGCAGCCTTTCAACCCAGCCAGCGAATCGACGAGACGAAACGATGGAGGTCGACACGATTGACGAACCCCGAACAAAGTTGCAGGAGAATGGGGCCCTCGTTGTTAAGAGCGCTCGAACAGAGCTTGTCCCTCGCCATGAGCGGGAGAAGGCTCGTCGGCACCGCGAAGCCCAGAAGGCCTACGGTCGAGGAAAGAAGATCAACACAAGGGGTATCAAGGACAAGAAGCTCCGCAACAATATGAAGCGCCTCGAGAACAAGTACCAAGATGCCACGATCAGGGCCAAGGATGCCGAAATCCTGCTCGAGAACACATCCGGCTTCCTCGAGGCTGAGGACGAACTCGAACGGACATACAAGGTGCGCCAGGACGACATCACCAAGGAGGTGGCGGTGGAGACGGCGCAGAAGCGATTTGAACTCAAGCTTGATGATCTGGGCCCTTATTGCTTCGACTACTCGAGGAACGGTCGGGATCTACTGCTGGGAGGTCGCAAGGGTCACGTCGCGACTATGGACTGGCGCGAGGGCAAGCTGGGCTGCGAGCTTCAGCTGAACGAGACGGTGCGCGACGTCAAGTGGCTGCACAACAACCAGTACTTTGCCGTGGCGCAGAAGAAGTACGTCTACATCTACGACACCAATGGCGTCGAGCTGCACAGCTTGAGGAAACACCAGGAAGTGAGCCACATGGAGTTTTTGCCGTATCACTTCCTCCTGGCGACAATTGTAAGTGTTGTACGAACCAATCTGTCGCATGTGTCACTAACGAATCTCAGGGATCTACAGGCGTTCTTAAATATCAAGACACCTCGACAGGTCAATTAGTCGCCGAAATCCCGACCAAGTTAGGACAACCGACCTCTCTGGGACAGAACCCCTGGAACGCTATCCTACACGTCGGCCACCAAAACGGAACCGTCACATTATGGTCGCCCAATTCTCAAGACCCTCTCGTCAAGCTTTTGGCCCACCGAGGTCCCGTACGAGATCTGGCGATGGACCGTGAAGGCCGGTATATGGTGTCAACTGGTCAGGATCAAAAGATGGCGGTCTGGGATGTTAGAATGTTCCGCGAGGTCAACAACTATTTCACTCGACAACCTGCAACATCAGTGTCTATCTCAGATACGGGTTTGACAGCCGTTGGCTGGGGTACTCAAACCACCATCTGGAAGGGCCTCTTCGATAAGAACAAGCCCGTGCAAGAAAAGGTCCAGAGCCCTTATATGGCCTGGGGCGGTGAGGGTAAGCGCATCGAGCGTGTGCGCTGGTGCCCCTTTGAAGATGTTCTCGGTATTGGCCACGACTCTGGTTTCTCGTCCATCATCGTTCCTGGTGCTGGTGAAGCCAACTTCGACGCCTTCGAGGTGAACCCCTTCGAGACAGCCAAGCAACGACAGGAATCCGAAGTCAAGGGCTTGCTCAACAAGCTCTCACCCGACATGATTGCTCTAGACCCCAACTTTATCGGAAACCTAGACTTGCGATCCGAGAAGCAGCGACGTGCCGAGAGGGACCTCGACGCACCAGCTGTGGACGTGGCCGAGGAGATCCGCAAGCGCGCAAGGGGCAAGAACGGCGCCCTCAAGAAATACCTGCGCAAGCAACGCAAGAAGAACATCATCGACGAGAAGAGGCTGCACGTCGACGAGATCTGGAAGGAGCAGCAGGCGCAAAAGGACAAGAAGAAACAGGAGGTCGAGGCGGATCTGGGACCGGCGCTGTCGAGGTTTGCGAGAAAGGAGTAGCAGCAGGCTTGCTTATACTAAAAATGCGAATAATACCCCAAGCTCAAGTCACGGTCGTCTAGTGGTGGTAGATGTAATCTGGTGTGCCAAAAACTCCTTGAAGGTCTATATGTTCATCAAACGTTTATATGAACCCAGTCCAGTTCCCGTGCTCTATACTTTTCATCCGTGATCCCATATGATACAACCCCCCATTTTCCCGTGCTTCACAGCAACTTGAGTCCTCCAGTGACCTGGTCGACAAGGCTTCTGGGGGCAGGTCCAACACCCAACACCGTCATGCTACCAGCCTCGATCTGTGTTCGTCCGGCATCCTGGATAACTTCGGCCGTGAGCCCAAGGGAGCGCGCCTTGCGTCGGAGCTCGAGTATCTCATCCTGGCTCTTGACTTGCACGGCGATCTTGGCCTGGCCGAGGCGCTCCCAGCGGGAGAGGATCTTGCGCTGGGGAGAGTTGGCGGGGGCTCGGAGGAGGGTCTTGTAGCATGCGAGGGTAGCGTGGGAGCACTGCGCGGCGATTTTGCCTAAGAAAGTCAGTACGAAGTTTTCAATTTGAAGGGTGGCACATACCCTTGGTCATGCCCAGATCAGTTCGGACCACAAGAACCAGCTTGCACTCCTCGCCGTTATCCTTCACAACCGGCTCCTCCTTCTTCTCCTCCGCCTTCAATCCCTGTCTGCGGTCTGCGTCAGGGCCATTAGCCCAGTTAGGCGCATGATCCAGCAGAGAATCATCCTCATCGACATCGCTCTCCTCGCTCTCCTCAGGATCGTGCAGGTTTCGTCGGCGCTCCTCGACGAGGTCGGGGGAGATGAGGTATCCGCGGATGGTCCAGACACCAAAGGCGTAGCCGGTTAGGAGGGCGGTGAACGCCGTGGAGAGGATTAAACCCGTCTGTTGGCCGCCTGTGTCTGCCATTGTGTGTTCGATTTGGGGTTGTGTGGTTGGTTTTTGGAGGGTGTGGTTTTGGATGGTTGGTGAGGGAGCTAGGTTGGTGTTGGTCATATCACGTGGGGCGGCGATGTGTTTCAAAGTGCGGCATGGCATCATGGGTGCTTTGTTGGATAAATTATACCATAAAAATTGTGATTCAGTGCTGTAAGTTTGCTTGGATCACTTTTATTTCTCCTCATCGATTTACTACTAGTCATGAATTTATCCGGACCTACGTTGTCGTTGCTCAATGGCGTCTCGAAGTTGTTGCGTATGCACCTACAGCTCATGAGCAGTCCGGAGTCCAGGGAACAGGTTCTTAAGAACACAAGAAACCGCCAAGTGTTTTCTTGAGACAAGATGGAGTAAAATCTCCGGGCGATCCGGTCTAAAGCGTCGCACATAGCCGGTGCTTCCATTGGCCTTATCCTCGTCTCCATTCGCTGAACGTGGACATCGGCACTCGGTAACTCAAGGGCCATGACCCATGTTGCCTTGAGCGCGACCGTTTCTTTATTCAAATATAAAACCGATTATGAATCGATAAACAGGAATCCATCCCCGGGGTTTTCCCCAACGCCGACCAAACATGTTCTTGAGAGTATCATGTACTCCGTGCCATCCATTTACACGACCACAACACCTCGCTGAATGTATGCCGTCTCCTCGACCAGCGGGAAGCACCCAAGCATCTTTGAAAACTCATTTAGACACGCACTGCGAGCATCCATGTGTCCCGTCTTCCTGCTGATACCCTCCTTCGGCACATAGTTGACGTACTTCTCGTTACCACTAACAAGCAGTGGTCCCTCGCCTGTCAGCATAGAGTGGACATAGTTAAGGGCAATATCTTCGCAGTTGAAACCTTCATCCACGTAGTCTCTGATCTGGTTCATGGCGGTGTCGTTGGAGGCGTAGTAATCGAGGAATGACATGTGCGAAAAGGCCAACCCGGAGAGAACCATTGAGTATCTGTCCTCGCTCTTCCCGGTGTTGCAGAATGTGTACTCGCTATTTCCGTACAAATCAACGGGAGAACATCGCGCAAGGGCTCCAGTTAGTCGATTCCGACCAAACTTGCGCCATGTCTGAAAGACAAACTCGAGATCGCTGGGTCGGTAGTAGACATCGTCATCTGAAAGGAGGATCGCCTGCGTCTTATAGTCGGGGTCCGGCCAGAGTTTCTCGTTGAGGCTGTTCTTCTTTGACTTTCGGTATCGCACTGGTACGCCGTGCTTGGATACGTAGCTCTCTGGTGGTTCAGCCTCGAGGTCATTCCAGACGACGACTATTTCTTGAAGAGAGGGGATCTTGTCGGTCAAAAGAGCCTTGAGGGTATTCTCAAGCTCCTTGGGTCGACGATAAGTCTGCATAGCAATGCTAAATCGGACTAAGGTCAGGTTATCGGTCGTAGTAATGCGCGGTCAACGTACGTAAACTTGTCATTTGCCAGATGCTCATACTTCTTTCGCGACTTGTCCCAAATCTCTCGTGTGCCCGTGTAGTTTATACTTGAGCAAGTAGGAAACTTGGTCATTTTGCTGATAACCTGAGGAATGAGAGCGGTCGCATTTGTAAGGCGAATGGTGACAATGATGAAGGCGACAGTGAGGATAAATGTCGTCGTGAGTGTGGCCGCCCGTTGAAAGGCACGAGACTTGACGAGCAGCGGGATATTCGTCCTGAGCCATTGCGTCCTATTGTCAATCTCTCTTCTCAAGGGTCTTGTGTTGAGTTCCACCTTGGACGTGAAATTCCTCCAAGACTCTTCGACCCTGTATCTGAACGGCTTGACGGACTCCATGTTGATTTCTTGCGACTTCATCATGCTCGGAGTTGAAGCCTGGAAGAAGGGGTTAAGGAACCACAAATAAGGTGTGCACCTTCCAAACTCCACCTCGTGGGATGCCCGTTGAATAAACCCCAGCCACTTGACTGGAATCGGCAGGTACGTTCTTCGGTGCTTGCTCCGATTTGTTGTATTCAAGAGGAGCCAACAAGAGAGATGGAGGACGCAAGAACTGGAGCAGGCGAGATCAGATAGTAAAACAAGATTTTCACATATAACTGATATATGCCCGACATTCATGACCTCCCCCTCCCCCTGAAAACGCGTCCGCTGCTTCATGGTCCCCAGACCACCTTCTCGTTGCTTCTTCCTAGACTGGGGTCCCATGGGAAGATCATCAGGGGGAATGATGCAATGTGGCGTGGATACACGTTGTCAGTTTCTTGGCTCTTGCCGAGCCCTTCCCGGCAGATGGATATGCGAGTTGATCTTGTTGCGGTTGGTTCGTCTTGCTTTTAGTGGGCTTACTCCGTAGACCGAGATGGATTTAACTCTACCAACATGGTGGGAGATGGTCAAAAAGAGGTGTTTTTTTAACTATCATCCAAGTTTATTTCTGTACTTAAAACTGTTAATGGAAAATGTATACGTGGATCAAACAGTCCCTAATCAATTCCTCAAACTTCGATGACGTTGCCATCCCCTGTTTTGTTACCACCATCAGGCATTTTCTCCGTGGATGGGCGGGATTGGTGCAGGGGTGTTTCAAAGCCGAGATCAAACTTGATCTTGCTCAAGGCGGAGTCCACGTTGATTTTGAGAGCAGACCATTTGCCATAGGTTGATTCTCTTAACCACAGTGGGTTAATTAGTTTGTAGAAAGTCAACTTGAACAATATTTCTCTCCAATCTGTATTATAACACCATGAAAATGTCAAGAAAGACGACACGCGTCAAGTTCCCGGTTTCAGCGACCAAGCCACCGGATCTAGCGCACGCCATCGTGCATGTGTGGGGTTGTCTCGCAGATCCCGTACACCACCAAGCGAGATCTCAAAAGTCACTCACGAACCAAACAACAGCATCAACGATACACAACTTGCAGCCAATCCACACCTACAGATCTCATCATGACAGGGGACAGGGCCCTCGTTGTCGCCATCTCTGGGTGCTCCTCTAGCGGCAAGACGACTCTCGCTCGGCTGCTGCGGGACATCTTTCCCAACACGTTTATCTTGCATGAGGATGACTTTTACAGACCGGAGGCTGAGTGCGGCAATCCTATTCGTTGGTAAACTAAGATTTAGCTGACATTGGATCGTAGACTGCCTATGAAAGATGGCCTCCTGGACTGGGATTGTCCCGAGGCTATCGACATCCCTGGCATGGCTGATTCCTTGGCTTATATCCGTCAGCATGCCTCGTTCCCTGTAAGTCTCCTCTTCTTCAACTACGATAGCACGAAACCAACTTTCTCTTAAAGCCAACTCTCGAGTCGAAAGAGGATCAAAACTCTGTGGGCAAGTGTCCCGTCTCAGAGTCCACAATCGCCGCCCAACGAGCCAAAGTCGAAGCAGCACTCGGTCCAAACCATCCCCTCCGCTCAACCCTCCGTCTATGTCTCCTAGACGGATTTTTACTCTACTCGCCCTCAATGGCTGCGATAAAACCAAACTTGGATATCAAGCTATTCCTGAGGACCACTTACGCAAAGGCCAAGGCGAGGAGAGAAGCAAGAGACGGATATGTCACGCTAGAGGGCTTCTGGGCTGATCCGCCTGGTTATGTGGACAAGATTGTTTGGCCCAACTATGTGGAGCAACATACTTGGATGTTTGAGGGCGGTGATGTGGAGGGTGAGTTCAAGATGGATGTTTTAGAGAAGGAGAGGGTCAAGGTGCAGGACAAGGTTGGTGCTGATGGGGATATTGAAAAGACGTTTGAGTGGACTGTTGATACCATCTTGGATGAACTAAAAAGGCAGATCTAGTCGATGCCTCAAAGTTTTGGATATGCCAGTTCTACTAAAGCCGGGGTTGCGCTGCATCCAATGCAAGCACTCGCCTACTATCCCGTGCATCCTCAACTTCATCAGCCAAGTCATCTACTCCATATCCATTGGCTCCGCCCCAAGTTCCGCAGCTCTCTTCTCCTCATTCATAACCTTCACGGCCTGCTCAGCAGCCCTGGTCATGATCTCCTCTTTGTTCAATCCCCCTCTCACGTCCGCCATCAGTCGGTCCCCGACCTTGAGCCGGCACACATACTCGGGTTGCACTCCATCGAGCACCGTGTAGTTGTATTCGACTTTCTTTTCCACAGCCAAAGCGCTAAGCTCTTCCTTGGGGTGCTTGATATGCACCTTGTCACGGATGATGCGTTCCAGGTAAGGCAGGATGCCAAATCGATGGAAGACACCCTCACAAACCTCGGTAGACCCTGAGTCAACCCAAACCGCACCGATGAGTGCCTCGAAAAGATCCGAGTAGAACTTCTTGGGCTGAAAGCGAGCCAGCAACGTCCACGGATAGTGCGTGCCGTTCTCGATGGCATCGACGATTTCCCTTCGCAGCGTCTCGAAACGTTCCACGGTTCTAACCTGCTCGTTACCGATTGCTGGTGAAGTGTAGCGCATGAACTGCCACAGAGCCAAGGTCTTGATGGTGTCTTCCGTAACTCCGTCAGCGTTGACGTCGGTCTCTACCCGACGCAGTCGATGCTCCAAGTTGACGAAAGCAAGAAACTCTCCATTGACCATTGCCGTCTTAATGAGGTGGAGGTCTGAATGAGGGAGGGGCGGTTTGACGTTGAACACCTTGGTGACGATGATGTAGTCGAGGACCGCGTCGCCGAGGAATTCGAGTTGTTCATAGGATCGCTGGTGAGTATCGCCCGCATACGATCCATGAGTTACCGCCTCAATCAATAACGACTTCTTGCGAAAAGAGTATCCAATCAACTCCTCAAGAGGTTCAAGGGTAGGCGGAAGAGGTACACCATCAAGAGCCGAGTTAAAGAGAATATCCCTCCCTCTACCAGCTTCATGCCAGTGACACTTGTCGCCCAAAAAGACTGAAATGCATTTCAAGGCCTTGTCCATGCCTCCGTCCTGGAAAGAGGCCCCAATAAGTGCCTCTACCACGTCGGCAAGATTCTTGTGTCCTGTGATACGATCAAGAGGCTCAACACTCTCTTCCGGAAGAAAGTCGTCGAGATAAAGAGGCTTCCACTTTTTACCGCTGTATGATCTTCCAGTGAATGCCTTAGAGAGGATGAATTTGGAAAGGCCGCTTTCCAGACAAGCACGGTGAAGTCGTTTGTTGGAAACCAACTGATCCTTGAAGGGCACGAGCAGACCTTCGGGCCAGAGAGGGTCTATGATCAAGTCAGTGGTGGTCATGGGTGGTACTATAGAAAGACTTACGCTCTGCATAAGCCTGAATAACTGTGCAGTACTTGAGAATCGAGTCTCCCAGAAACTCGAGTCGCTCGTAATCCACAGGTTCATGCGCACTTCGGGAGCTAATCGCCTCAAGCACCAACTGCAAGTCATTGATGTTCACGGGCTGCAGCAAGGTAGTTGATAGCTCTGAAGCAACGAGTTGAACCCCAATCTCATGGATGATCGAAGGTATCAGCATTCCCACCTTGACAACTCTCTTCGGAACCATATCGACAGTCGTGTATGAAATGGGGAGCACACGGCCGTATGGCTTGGTGTTGACTTTTTGCTCCTGGTTAGGATTGTTGGGAGGATGAAGCAGGTCTGCCCGTCGCGTCCACTTTTCAACGACGAGGTAGGGTTCGTCCTGCGGCGCCAGCTCATATTCGTAGAACGGATGTTGGACTTCCTCTGGTGAAGGTTTCGATGGGATGGTCTTGATGTAGTAGAAGGGGCATATCGAGTTATCTCGAACGAGAGCTAGCCCGCTAGCTGCCTTATCCTCATTCCCTAGGAAAGGCATACCTCCAATGTGCTTCCTGGAGATGTCTCTGTCCTCATAGATGACCTTGACTACATGCTCGCGGTCTTCCACCAACCATCGATGTCCAAATTGAAACGCGAGCAGTGTCGAAGTGTGGTCAGGTAGACTAGAGTTCTCGTCGTGAGAAATCTTCTTTGTCGAGACATGTTTGACGGTCCAGCGGTAGTTGGCATCAAGAAACAGTCCAATATCCCGAAGCTGTGGTAGCTCGGCGGGGAGGACAATGTCGAAACGGACGGGATAGTCAAGCCCCTCATCCCAGAACTCAAACCCGTACAACCACTTGTCTTCGGTCTTCTTCCAGTTCTGTGCCACATGGATCCAAGGGTTGAATAGGGGCTCGGGAAGCGGCTCCGGGTCTTCTTCCTTAGCGCCGGGGTTAAAGTTGACGGGCAGCAGGTTCTCACTGACGAGTCCTTCCTCAATCAAGGCCACATAGGCTCGGAACGCGGCATCTTTCATGGCGTTCTTCTCCGATTTCCATGAGGAGGAACTCCTGAATTTGCGCAGATTGGCCGGTAAGCCGGATGGCAGTGTGAGTACTGCTCGTAGCATGTCCTCACCGAGTTCGTTCTGCTCTTTCTGGAAGATGTACTCTGGTCGCCGGTCGACGTAGTCTGCCTTGAACACAACTTGACAGAAATGTTCCAAATGCTGTCTAGCATTGTCAAGATCCAGTCGCGCGCCAGAAGACTTGATGATGTAGTAAATCGAGTCTGTCTGTTCAGACCTTGCCAGTTCATCCAGTCGCTCAAGTTCTCTTTGGTCGTCTTGATACCGTCTCTTCATGCCCTCTTCAAGTTCTTCCCAGGTGCGGGAGCTCGTTAGAGAGCTTTCCATTGCAATCATCTTTGACTCTTGCATGCGAGCTCTGCCACGACGCTGGATGAAGGACTTGAGTGTTGTCGTCTCGTCGAAGCACGCCACTAGGTTACAGGCAGGAACATCGATGCCTTCCTCTAGGACGCTGGTGGCTACAAGGAGGTTGACTACTCCAGAACGAAAATCCTCGAGGATCTGAGTACTAGTGCCATTGTTGAACTCGTACATGTTCTGTGTCCGACTTCTAGAACTCGAGGTGCCGACCATTGCGCCTACGCGATACCGGGCCCGGACGGGTGGGGAGCTGTTCAGGAGGTCGCACAGCACATTGGCCGTGGTCCTCTCCTTGACAAAGATTATTCCCACGACGTCGTCCCCGGCTGCCAGGAGTTCATGGATCAGCTTTGCAGCCTTGTGCGAGAGATCTGTCGCCGTTGGCGGTTCGTTCCCAAGAGAACTGATCGGAACCCCACGCAGGTATCCCGCAAGGTATGTTCTGTTCTCGTTGGACCAGGTATCGTCAGGTGCGTCGACCCGAGAGAGAAAGTCGGCGATCAATCTCGAGACGTATCGATCAGCCGCCCAGCTACCAAGCTCTTCGAGAATGACCCTACTCCTATTCCAAAGGCCTTTCATCTGGTTCTGAGAGAACGTATCGTTCCTCATAATGGCATCTCGGAGTCTCTTCAGGTTCTCCTCATTTCTGCAGCGGCTAAACCTGAGCACTTCAGGGTCGGTTGTGATATCCATATTCTGGTATGCCGTGTGTAGTGCCCGCATCAGGTTCGTCAATTCGGAACGTTTCTTATACTCGTATACCGAGCGAACCAGATGTGGTTTGTTGACGCATTGGAGCAGTTCTTCCCGATGCACTGTCGGCGTGGTGCAGATCGCATCCATTGTGTTCTCGAGTGTCTCGATGCTGGCAAGATCAGATGATATGACAGGACTGGCAGTCAGTCCCAGGATAGCAGGGACGGGTAACCCGGCATTCTTGTCTTCGTGATAGAAGTTCAGCATAATCTTTCGTCCGGAACTTCTCTTGACGCAGTTGTGAACTACAAATCATGGTTAGTAAAACCATGGATGTCGGAATGGTAGGTTCTGTACCTTCGTCAAAGACGATAAGCGAGAGCATACTCATCTTCACAAAGCCATGAGTAAGGGCGTCGTGAAGAATTTCAAAGGTCGACACGACAATGCGAGTACCATTGAGAATCTTGGGCCAAACTTCCGGTGACCAGGCGTCGATGTTGAGCTGCCCAGTCAATATCTTCATGGACACTGACGGGTTCTGTCTCTGGATGACTTTGAATTGTTGCTCGCAGAGGCTGACGGTTTTTCCGAGGAACCAGATGATCTAGGTCTTATTCATGGAGTGTTCACTGGGGGGCCCGTGGGATACGCACCTTGTCTGGCGAGGATTTCTCTAGTTCAACTTGAATGCGAAGAACGGCTCTGAGAATAGTCAATAACCAAATCCTAAGAACATCTAGACGAAGTCTTACACCTGAGTCTTTCCACTTCCCGTGTCCATCTGCACAGAGTCAGCTAAACGGTGCAAAGCATAGGAGACAAAGAACTGACAGCGACAATGACATTCCGCTCCAGACTTTGTTCCAACATCTCTCTTTGGTAAGCTCTCGGGTTGATGATCTCTGGTGCGGGCGACTCTTCCTTGTCTTCAAGCATCTCATCTCCGCCGGCTTTTGTAATGTCGTCCGCCGGGATGACAGAAACCTTCTCTACAATCTCCGGGGCAGACGTGGCAGCTTCGTCAACAGGTAGCTTCTCAACTGATGAGGAGTCAGAGCTCCCATCCTCGGGGGATAGTGGCCTCGGAGTCGTCATGATTAATCTCCTCTGAGAAATGACAGAGAGTGGTAACTGGGTGCCCCTTGTGGCTCTCGTACACGAGGTCAAGATACCTCGACGGGATTGGGCACCCGCGCAACGATAGGATGAAAGAGTCGGACGGTGCAAGACAAGAGAGGGCAAAAGATGGGATGCAAGGGTTCTCGGCCAAGAGGATGGTAGTCTGAAATTCAAGCGTGTGAGAAAGCAATGTTGTGAGCGCCTATTCATGGGCGAATATCGCTGCAGGTCAAATCGGAGGAGGCCCACCAGTCATTGGACAAAGAAAGGGCTGGGCCGGCGAGGCATATACGCACGGGGGAGAACGCGGGAGGCCGCTTTATGGTGTTGGCTGAGAAATAGGCCTGCGGGAGGCCGACCAGCTCTCATGGGAGACCATGATTCACTGTCAATGTGAGGTGCAGTGGTATTGAAGTGGATATGAGGTTGTGGTGAGGTTGAGTCCACAGTCTCCTCCCGACTCTGCACTGTGCACAAGTGGTGAGCAATTGAGGATTCTACAAGGATAGCTCAGCAATTGTTTTACCCTGCTAATTCACATGATTCTTTTAAATCACAAGTTAGTATTCAAATGCTATTTCTCGTCAAGCATCAGGTCACCCTAAAAGAGTCAGTCGTGCTCAGATATTGATGAAGAGTTGATGGGGTATCCACACTGTACTGAACAACAGTGCCCTTGCCATCATGGAGGTGTTGGGAACGCTCCCCGTCACGACTTTTATAACCACAATGCATTGCACCGGTGGCAACACATTGTTTATCTCCTGTATGCACACTCTCTACCTATTTAAATGAATACCCTATCCTAAGACAAAAAGACCTCATTTTCTTTAATAGGAAGAAACAAGAAAAAAAAACAAGAAACCACTCCATAAGTAGGGTAGGTAGGCATCGTTCCACACCCCTCACACCCTAGACACAACCATACCACGGAAAGGTTTCGACAACCTCAGTTTCTACAAAGCTCCAAGGCGCACACGAATCATTTACAGGAGCTAGAGCCGAGCATTCATGGAGCTACCGGTGCGTATCGCTCAGGCAGAAGATGCCATGGAGCTGTACGCAACCGGTTTCAACGCCTGGAACCAGCTCACCTTCGACCCATCCACAGTCAAAGATGAGCCGGACGATATCTTTTCCTTCACAAAGATCCTAGGGACACAAAGATTGGACAGAGTAGTATCCCAGATGTGCTACACGGCAGGTATATTCTCCACCCCATGATCACTGCCAGCTCTTGGTTAACGCAGCCGAGTGCAACGCGAGGGCACATGGTCATTAGCTGGCTTGTCCCCAGGCACACTGGTCTCTGGAAACGCCGACCAAAGGTACCTGTTCGATCATTCGAGCGCAATATCTGCAGATGGAAGAGTTCTCACGGTGGAGGGCCTCGGAAGGCCGTCCCAGGCTATCGTGGAATATCCGGCATTGGCTGCATGGAGAGCCAACAGAAGCACACACTCTTGGCCCAGCGAGTCTGGTGTCCGTCAAATAGCTGCTTATGATGGAGGATTCGTCATTCTACGTGAGGACGCCTCTTTGTCAACGATGGGAGATCCACGCTTTGGGGATTGTCTAGGTCGTGAAGTCGATGAGTCCAAGTACTTACCCATATCCTTTACATGAGCTATGGCTGACCTTCATAGTCCTGCAGATGTACCCGGCCTCGTTTCAGACCTCAGTGACATTGGTGAGCCTATCAAGATGGTTGCGGCTGGGGGATACACCCTCGCTGCTTTGACGGAGGGTGGTGGGCTGTACCTCTGGGGCATGCAATCACCTGGCTCACAAAGTCGGCACCAGGCTTTTGCTGATCTCAGTGGAATACCCAACTATGTAGAGGTTGACGGAGAGAAAGATGTGCAGGATATTGCACTTGGAGAGTCTCACGCCATCGCCCTAACCACCGACGGTTGTGTTTATGTCGTGGGTGACAACACAAACGGCCAACTTGGTCTGGGAAGCGACTCCAAAAGCCCAGTCGAATCTTGGCTCAAAGTGCCCTTCAACAGCCCCCAAGGCTGGAACATTGTCGGCGTCGAAGCAGGCCCTAGGTCATCATTCATAGTCACGGCAAAGGCAAAGCCAAAATAGATGTCAAAGCTCATAGGAGCCGCCTTTCTACCGGAACCAGCTCTATTGAGCCCAATAACCCTCTCTATTGTACAAGGCTTCTCCTAGTAATCGTCCGCGTAGAAGTAATCATAGACTCGTCAGGTAATCCTCAATCTCTTGAGGAGTCAGCTTTCTGAAACGGGGTCCGACAGCCCCCTCGACACCCTCAAGGCCCAGAAGATGCTCCGCGGGGGCACCAACGATACCTGCGTCATGTTAGAACGAGACCTCAAGTCAGGAGCAGAAGAGCCTTACCAATCTCAATGGTATCTCCGTTCATCTCTCCCTCAATGTTGTCCTTCAGGGTCAGGAGCGCAATGTGGATAGCATCCTCAAGCTCGAGCTCCTCCGAGTATCGCTTCTCCAGGAATGTCTTTGCCTTGGTCGCGCTCTTGCCGATGGCCGTGGCCTTCCAGGGATAGTAACTGCCAGAGGGGTCGACCTGGTAAAGCATGGGGCCGCCCTTGTGGATGCCGCCAGTCTTCTTGTTGACCTTCTTCTCACCACTCTCGGCCTCGGCGGCCTCCTCCTCAGGCTCGATACCCTCATCCCAACCAGCGACCAACAGGCTCACACCGTAAGGTCGAACACCAGCAGACTGGGTGGCCTCCTGCATGACTCGCGCAACATCCTGCACCAATATCCGGGTGGGAGGGTACTCGTTGTAGATGCGCTTGTAACCGGTGTGCGAGACCTTGCGTGCGCGGTCCACCAATACTCGATAGTCGGGGCCCATGCCAGAGTACACCATGCCGATGTTGGGGGTGATGTTGCTGATCTTGGCGAGGGAGCTCTGGTCGGCGAGGGGGGAGGAGGACTTCTTCTCGGTGGCGAGGACGATACCGTTGGTAGCTTGTCAAGGTCAATAGCAATTCATCAAAGTCAAGAGAGATTCGAACCTTTGATACCAAGGGCAGTGATACCCTGGTTTACGGCGTTGAGGGCATACTCTGAAGTGGGATGTCAGTTTCGTTTATTGCAGGGTCCATGCCTTTAACATTTAGATGCTAAATGCCAAGTGATCCGTACCGATCTGCACCAGCTTTCCGCTGCGACTCTGTCAGTGATGATGCTCCCACGGCAACAGTGTCGTCACCATAGACATACCTGGGGGAGAAGGTTGTAAGGGAGAAGGAGTATCGGTCCGCCATCGCTCAAGATGCTGCTCTTCTAGAATCAGATGTGATGTTCTGGTTCCGCCGTCGGTTGAGTAGGAATTCGTGGGAATGGCAGGGAGATATCAAGCAAGCAAGGCTACAAATGGAGCTTTGGTGTTTGGCCAAGCAGCTGTCGCCTCTAGGCACGGCCTAGCTGCGCGTCGAGCTCACCCGCCTGGAGCTGTGGTCGGAGAAATAGATTATCCGCTCTCCGGACAAGGAAGCTCCTCCCGACTCCACTCACACAAACACCCTCGTCAAAATGGTCCCGTCGTTTTTGCACAGCCAGCTTTCAATGCTTGCTCGCTCGCTCGGCAGGTTCGGTTGCTTTCTTGGACCTTCTGCTGCGGAAAGCTGAGCTGGCCTTTTCACATATTCCGTGATGATCTTGGCTGGTGCTTCCCCCGCTCTCTTGCTGGCTTTGTTTGATACCTATTATTTCAAGCCTTGCAGAAACATGTAGGTTGCGCCTCGTACGCATTTGGTACGGCCGATGATCACTCAGCAAATTCCTTTGTTCTCCGGTTACTACTTAACCCCTTTCCTGTCTTCATCTTCACCTCCGCAGGTCTACATCAATCAACATGGATGCACGCCCGACATGGAACTGGTCCTCTGTAGGGGACACTTCTGCTCAGCAACATCCGGCAGAACCTGAAGCACGGCGCCCAGACACGACACCACACCCGGAGCCCCGAGCCGCGCCTAGAAACAGGCGTTATGGCACACGCACGTGTCGTATCTGTCTCGACACCGAAGAGCCCAAGTTTCCTCCCGAGCCGACCACTACGTTTGGCATTGCTACGTCGTCGTCTCGACCGACCTACGTGTCCGATGATCCGGAACTGGGTCGATTGCTATCACCATGCAAGTGTAAGGGTTCGCAGAAATACGTCCACGAAGGGTGCCTCAACGCTTGGAGACTCGCAAATCCAATGGAGGCGAGAAACTATTGGCAGTGTCCGACTTGCAAGTTCACGTATCGCATCTCTCGACTACACTGGGGTTCAGCCTTGAGCAGCAAGTGGGCCCAGGTCGGCTTGACTGTCTTCTTCTGCATCATGAGCATCTTCATTCTCGGATTCATTGCGGATCCTCTCTTTGACCTCTGGTCCGACCCAATTGGAACCATTGGCGAGACTGTCACAAGCGTGGTAACAGATATCGAAGCCCTGAAGCCACCTCCACCGTCAGAGCCTACGTCATGGATCGAGCACTTCACCAAGGGCTTCTTTTCTCTGGGGATTGTCGGGCTGTTCAAGACCATGATTTCCGTCAACCCGTTCCACTGGTGGCAACTGCGAAACAGCGGCATGGCAGGCGGCGGCAGAAGACAAGGGACTGGTCGAAACCGTGTCGAAAACATTAACCTGATATTTGTACTCATTGGCGCAGCCACTTTCCTCATGGGTATCTGGAAAGGTGTTCAGAAGCTGAGTGCTCGCGTGCTCAAGAATGTGAGCGACAGAGTTCTCGATGTTGGAGAAGACGACGGTGATGATGATGAAGGGGACAATGCCAACGACGGGCCGAGCCAAGAGAGTAAGAAAGATCAATGAACGGTAGTTTGGGTCTTTTGTTTTGAAGCATTACTCACGATTAGAGTGAAAGCGTGTTATTGATGTATGCTTGTTCTGCACACTCTTAAGTTGCCTCGATCTTGCGCTTCCTTGTCAAGTCAACTAGTCTGTGTGCAAAGATCTACGCTCTTCCTGTGCCTTGAGCGAAGACCGTTTTGGTTCCTTGCTCGTCGGCCAGGTTGAGATTATCAGCCATCCTTTGCGCATCGGGTCGCCCTTGGGCGTCCAAGACGATGTAAGGCATCTGCTGGGTACACTCCTAGTACAGCGCAGTGAGCAGAGGCCGAATGATGGTTGATACATGCTAGTCCGTGACTGTCAAGTCGGCATTCCTTTTACCATACGGAGCAAATCCCCGCCTTGCATGTGCGGCTATTGTCTCAGCCTTTGTGCGGTAGTGTTTTAGAAGCTTCATGTCCTGAGACAAGCCACGGCTTGGTTCACTGCCGGTTTTCCGTCTTTGTCTGGGCATATCAGCCCTCTGGCTGTTATTGCCCAGATGCCGAGACATAGCCTTCGTTCTAGATGATATGAAAATTATATATAATAACAGTGCAAAGGACTTGTTGTTGCTTCATGAATTCTCTCCGCGCTGTTCTGTCATCCATTTTGCTATTTCCCTATGCCACCCTGTTCTTCAAGCATGATTGAACAGAAGGGATGCTGTCTGGAAGGGGCTATATGTGATTTAGTCTGCTGGTGGGTGATTGCATTTTCCTTGGCACAGCCTCTTTTAAGCCAGCTGCTTACAAGACTGCAAGGGATGGCGACAGCGAGGAGCAACCTCAATGGGTGCTCTATTCTGATTTGCATGAACGAAGCACTCCTATTTATATATGTGGTCAATAGCCACTAGGATAAAGACCATGACCGTACTGAAGAGGACGTGGCTGTCATCTACAGCATAAACTAGTTCGACTTGGAACACAGGGCATCCTCTATTTCCTACTATCCGTACCTGAGAGTGGACGATGATATGAGAATGATTAGGATATTTCATCTTCAGGGGTAGATAGCCATTGGCTACACTCACCTTAGATACCTAGATAATCAGCAACCTGAACCATGCTGCTATTTACAATGATTGTGTTCTGAGTGTTCCCATGAATAACTCTTTGCTATCTACCATCTCAATTGTTGGTTATTTTCGTAGGGCCCAGAAACCACCTAGGGACGCCTCCAGAAGTAATATGCAATGCAGTCATTGCCAATATCTTTCCACAGCCATCTGTACAGACTTGTTCGAAGTGCATCTTCTCTTGGTTCTAGACTCTTTCAAGTCAATGTCTCGGTCGGATATTTGTGAATCCGAGCCGAGATGACGTTGGAACTTGAGTGGTGTTCTCATATCCCTGCAGCCAAATGGCCTGGCATGTGGGCCGGCGCCTCATGAACTCGGTTGAATCGAAAGGCCATCTATCACCAAAACCGCAACACCAATGGCTTGCTGATTGCCTCTGGAATCGCTGCGGATTGACTCCTGCGACGTCGCTCGTTTATTTGCTGTTATTTGCGACGGATTATACCTCGTTTCGGCGCGAGATATTCGACTGCCCGCCCTCTTGCACGTTACACAGGTCCCTTGGTCTCCCTTACTGAGGGTCAGCAACCGCCGATCCCCTAATTCAGTCGCGCTGGCCATATCAGTGACTCGGCGATTCGAAATTGAACCTCTTACCGATCGCGACTCTTGAATAAAGACGTTTAACCAACTGCCGACCTTATCGCATCGGTTCGCTCGCTCAAGATGCAGTTCGCATACCCCCCTCGCAAGAACTCGAACCCTCCACCTTTCCGACCGAGAGCCACACAGCTACCACCGTTTCTACGACGAGCTCGCCCGAGAACACTGGTGCTACTTCTTCTAGGAGCTATTGGATGTCTATGGCTGCTTTTTGGATCGCGGGGAGAGACACCATACCGCGAGCATGTGCCATCAGGAAACCCTCCAGTGGTGATCTTGACGGTCCTCGATAATAGGCAATACAGCTCGGCATACCTCAAGTCGATCCAAAACAACCGCGAGCAGTATGCGGCGAAGCACGGTAAGGCGAACTCTCACCTTGGATTTGCGCATCGCGTGTGCTGACAGGTGGCGGATAGGATACGAGGCCATGGTCGTAAAGGCGACAGACTACAACACTGGCAAATCTCCCCGATCGTGGGCCAAGATCATCGCGATGCGCCATGCACTGTCGCAGTACCCCGATGCCACCTTTATTTGGTTCCTGGATCAGAATGCCTATATCATGGACCTCGATCGGACTCTGGAAGCGCAGGTCATGGCGCCGGCCAAGTTGGAAAGCCTGATGATCAAGGACTGGCCAGTTGTGCCCCCGGATAGCATCATTAAGACTTTTAGCCATCTTAAGGGAGGTGATGCAGCTCTCATCATCAGCCAGGACGATACAGGGCTCGTAACTAACAGCTACGTCCTCCGAAACGGTGACTGGGCCAAGTTCTTCATCGAGACTTGGATGGATCCTCTGTACCAGAGCTACAACTTTCAAAAGGCCGAGCGACACGCTCTTGTAAGTAGTATCTTGCCAACCCGAAACCACGTTCTGACCCCCTTCTACAGGAGCACATTGTGCAATGGCATCCCACGATCCTCTCCAAACTCGCGCTCGTGCCGCAGCGGACGTTTGCCTCGTACGGACGCAACAAGGAGGGCAACGCGTACCGGGACGGCGACTTTGTCACGCTCATGGTGGACTGCACCATCTCGGGTGCCATGTCCTGCGAGAAGCTGTCGCATTACTACCAGCAGCAGCTGACGACAAAGTACGGTGACATTGGGGCGGCGAGGAGATGAGCATTTCTGAAGCGCGGTGATTCAGGCGTTTGATCTTTTTTTCGATAGACTTGGTGGATTTTCTTGGGGGATCTGGAGGTGGAAAAATTACGAGGTATCTGTGTAGTATCATGGCGTTGACGGTCTTTTTGAATCCATGTAGTCACATCCAAGGGTATACTCTGGTTTGGATGCGACTGTCGAGGTGTTCAAGTCTTGTTTCATAGGTGGACATGAAGCTGCATTAACCTTCCAATAGCCTCAACCACTCCCCTTTCAGGAACATGTCTCCATTACCCTATGGTGGGCAGATAGACGACCTCTGTATGGGTTAACGATATCACCAATCTTTCGTCTGTGGTCTAGCCCATCATCTCGGTAACCCTCGCATCGCGCGACTGGGATACCAATGTGGCCAGGCACTTTAGCCGTAGCCCAGGGAGTCACCCCGTGCAGGTCAAGGATTCTATTCTGGAAGCTGGCCGGGGCGTCCTGCAGTAGATGCATCACTAATCTGGGATGCTCGCTTGCTGCCGGACATAAAAGGTTGAAGCTCATTGGTAGATTAAACACCGACGAGAGGAGGACGGGAACGGGGTTTTGTTGTAGGGTCCGGGTCC